TTCCAACCCAAACCATTCTATGATTTTATTTTTTTTCCTCCAGGAAGACATTCAACCTAAACCAGATCTCACCATGTAACACAGGTTTACTCTGAAAGTTCTTGCCATTAAGTAATTGGAAGAAAACTGTCATTTTGTAAAGGTCACAGTATGAGTGCATTGTTTTAATGGGGAATTCTTCAACTGTTTGTTTTTCTCCAAACTTTTCATTTGTACTATAAAACTACATATGTGAGAAAAGGTAATATGAAATCAGAAAAAGGTAAGCACTGGACTCAGATTGTCTGAAGATGTTTGTTTAAAAAGAATGGAAGATGGTCTCTGAAAAGTTAATTTTCTCAGAAGTCATGGGAAAATCATGTTTTCTCGCAAAGTTGGAATTCAAAAGTTGAGCAAAGTTTGCAGACAAATTAATAACTACATCCCATCTTATCTGCTTAGATACATTCTTAAATACAGGCAAGGTCATGTGTTATAATTAATCTCATGCAAGATAGGAATGCTGAGAAAATATTTGCATTGTTTCCTACTGTGTATCGGAACAAATGCTTATCATGCCTCTGCCTCGTATAAAAGCCTCCACGCTGCCTGCAGAAATCGGCGTTCGACCATGGAGAGGATCAGGATTCCGTGTTTCTTCGCTGTTGTGCTAGCAGGTAAAAGTATGGCAACTTGTATTTTGTCATGGGCTTCAAAGCAAGGTATAAATGTGATAACGACAGGAGAGCTATTAGGGGAGATGATCTTTTTTACATGGAAAAGGAGAGAACGGGCATGGCTTTAACTCCACCTGAGGTGGCTCTGTGGGGAAGACAACAGGGCTGGCTTGTAGAGAAATATGTCCCCGTCCACGCTTGGGCACCAGCAGAGACGCGCTGGAGTCAATGGGACCGTTCAACTGCTGAAAGCTACCCTGTGCTTTTGCTGTGCTTAGTACCCCCGTACACCAGAGGTTAACTCTGTCCAGAGTCCAGTAAAGGCAGAGTACATCTCACCCGGGCGCTAGATAAAGGAAGAGGGAATCTCTGCAGCAAAAGCCTTCAAAATGTGTGGATGAATCCAAAATGTAAAGACTAATACTATCAAATTAAAAGGCATGTGTTAATACTTTAATTCCTTGCTTATGCCTTATTGCAGCATTTTCTAAGCTAATTTCATAAAATTGAAGTCAGGGTTTTTAAAAATCAGTGGGGATAATTTTTCACGTATATCTTTCAAACTACCTTGCTTTAGCTTTGTTCCCATGGAAATTATCATGGAAAAGCAGCAAATAGCTACTGCTAAATTCCACTGCTGGTTTGCATTTCATCTTCCATGTACATTTACAGACATGGGCCATAAATGCACTGAAAATGCATTGATGCATTGAAAATGGAATGATATGGAGATTTTAAAATATTTTTTTTAAAAAGTAGAGAAGGAAAATTACATCTTTCCACTTGCTACTATCCCATTTGTACTATAATAGAAATAAATCCAGGAACAAGGGATGAATGAGGTTGCAGCCTTGTTCAGCTGCTTATACCTCTAAGTGCTTGTTTTCAAAATTTGCTGGAAAATTTAAGCTTCACATTGATGAGGTAAAAAAAAAAAACCCAAAATTCTTGGCTCCTGCTGGGGCAATCTTTTTCCCCTAGAACTAGCTTTTTCTTTCACAATATCATTCTTATAAAGTATTTTGAAAGTATTTTACTATACAACTGGGTTGATAAAAGTCTCCTGTGAACTGATGCTATGTAAAGTGATGCCAAGTTAATAACATGCTCAGTCATATTCTTTGATTTCAGCAATGAAAACACTGATGCTGCATTTGGCTCCCATTAAAAAACCCCACAAACCCAAACCTAAATTAAATGTGATGGGTTTACTCTATTTTGTGCTTTGTCTGCCAAGGTGTTAACTCGGATGTGCAAGGCACGGCAGCGCAAAGCTGCTGGACCCAGAAGCCATGCTTTGACTGCAGAGGTGGTGCTTGGAACAGCGTTTTTTTAGCCTCTGGGGTTGCACAGGTTTAAGGACCGCAGGAGATCCAGAGGGCTGCAGGAGGCCTTTGAAATCCTGTCACCAATAAGGAAGGCATGGCAGTTATTTCTACGGGACTTGCAATCTGTCTGCCTGTCCCACATCTACAGCAGGGACACAGCACAAGAAGGCAAGGCTTGTCCCATCTAGCCCAGTCTTTAGTGTTTCATTAGACCATTGATGAATCCTTCCCAATTTCCGCTCCAAGAAAAAATAGTTTAGGGATTGCAGAGGGGTGTTCATATTCCTGTTATGCTTTGGATGAAAAAGGGGATCAGAATTTAGGGCTTTTCTATGTGACAGATCACGGGGGGGTGAATGCTGGACAGAAAGCAGCCAGCCTGTGGGGCATGACTGCCCACCCCAGGAACCAAAGGTGGAACCAAGCCTGCCTGCCTGGCAGCTGGTGAAGGTTACCAGGATTTCACCCATTAATTCCTGTTAATTCCTGCCTCTCCAAGGTGGTACAAGATGTAGTGGCATCCGGGGAACATCAGACCTGAGTGTCAGATGCTCCTGCATCAGAGGAGGGATGAGAGTTTTCTCAAAAGACAAATGTAGACAGCACTCAGCTCCTGTTTTCTGCATTCCCACCCCTACTTGGAACTCAGCTCTGGCATCACAGCATGATGGCATTTTCTAGTTTTATTCTCTAAATTTTCCCAGTATATACAATTATTGCTTGTGCACATCTGCTTGTAAAATTCTTTATATGGAGAAGCCCAGACTGCATCAGCAATCACGTTTTCAGCTTTCAAGCACACAACAGTCCACGTAAAAAAAAAAAGTAAAGCAGAGGTATTAGTCATTTTATTGAAAAGAGCAATTATCTTTCAAGTAGATTGCATTTTTAAATATTGCTGTAATGACTAAAATGACATAAGTTAACTTCAAAATAAGTATGCTGCCTGTGGTATGCCTGCTCTCTTTAAGAGTATTTGATAACCGAGTGTTTTGTCGGCACGGCAGGGAGCTGGTCTCACAGTCCCCCTGCTCTCAGGAGGTTTGCTCCGTGCTGGGGAACCACAGGGCTCGACCTGCAGCTGCAGAAAGGAAGATTTAGGTTTTGTCAGGATGCTTCTGCAGATGACTGATTTGTGCCTTTTCTTTTACTGCTGGCATTTTTCCTTTACTCATAGCCATTCCTGTACTAACACAAACTACTAATACACTATTACACATGTATAGCATTCATATAATATATAAAAGAAATCTAATACAGACATATGTAATCAGTATTTTTATATTTATACATATCATCTAGGTGCATGCTGATTGCATATATTTTTATACATATATGTCTTCTCTGTATCACACAAGTGAGAATAAGAACACAGAAAATGTAGTATTTTAATATCTTTAACAGTTCTAGTCCTTACTGATGTAGACCTCCTGTTCAGCTAGCCTGAAGTGCTGCTCTCGCGCCTCACCAGCAGTTTCATCAGCCCGCTATTTAACTTTCCATGATTACTTCAGAGCAAGTCGTGCTTCAGCTGAGCACCAGCAGCTCTGAGCACCGAACAATACAGACCGACTGCCTTGGTTTGTAGAAGAAACCGGTTGCTCTTGTCTCGGTCATGAGCAGGCATGCTGCTCTGCCATCATCTTAGTCAAAAGAATCGTGTATTGGCCCCCAAATGGGGAAAAAACATCACAAAAATACAATCGATTAAGAAGGTTGGATGGGGCTTTGGGCAACCTGGTCTAGTGGAGGGTGTCCCTGCCCATGGCAGGGGGGGTTGGAACTAGATGATCTTTGAGGTCCAACCCAAACCATTCTATGATTCTAAGACTGCATTGCCTTTTTTTTAAAAAAAACACCCTTGGTTTTCTATGGCTCTGACTGCTTTACCCCCGGGTCCAGCCCTAGGCGGGTGCCTCGGCTCCGACCAGGACGGGCAGTGTGCCGGGGCTGTGGCGGTGCAGAAGCGCATCGACTGCCACCCCCAGCCGGGCGCTTCCCAGGAGGTCTGCGAGGCGCGAGGCTGCACCTGGTGTGCCACCGATGTGGCCAACGCTCCCTGGTGCTTCTTCCCTGAGGACAG